CACTTAGCTTATTCTTATATTTCTCTTTGAAATTATGTCAAAATGGTATGTTCTAACACCACCTATGATTTTTTCAACTTGTTCCCTCTCTTTGGTCAAAGATTTTTTTCTCTCTCCCTTTATTTACTCATTAAATTAGTTGTTGACTACACTTGTAAAATTACACTCATAAATTGATCACTTATCATTCATTTTTTTCAAATTCAGGCATTTAAGAATATTCTTACATCTTATATATAGCTTTACAATCTTTTCAACTACTAATTGATATTGTGTTTGCACACTTGAAAATCTTTCTCTCGCTATGTGGGGTCTCCCCTCGACTAAGTTACATATATAGCCTATTTTCACGAGTCAATTTATGAGATTCACCATGTGCCACTCAGATGACCAATCATTTATGGCCAATGAAGCTCAGAGCTTAGCACCTTCTTGTGTGTCTCAAAGCTACCTTTGGCATGTATGTTCTTCTTCATACTCGTCCAATCTAACCATAAGTTGTGATATTAATAGTTGGACTTAACAAGTTAGATATTATTTGCTTTATGTCAAACTTGAATTGTCTTTTTCTAAAAGACCTCACACTATTAAAAGCATCGCTACACATTGTAGGTAGTTTCTCAATCATTCATACTTTTGAAAAGAAAAATCATAAAACACATAGCATCGCACTAAGATAAAGTCCTATATTATGTATAGGAACATAATGAAAGAGTTTTGTATGTAATTTTTTCAACTATTGTTAAGACTTGAAAAAAATATAAAAGTGAGAACTATTTTGGGAATCCCAAAGCAACTCTTTCAATTTTTCATAAAAAAAAAACCAATAGCTTAGAGACAGATAATGAAATTATTTCCACATGAAGACATAGAAAAGCATCTTAGTCAATTTCCACTAAAGGGAGTGATGGTCCATAAATGGAGCATACTATAGCTATTTAATTCACTTTGGATAACAATAGGCTAGTTTTATAATCCCCTATAGAGGCCTTATCATTTCATGGTCCCACAAATTTTTTAACTCCTTTTGTATCGAAAATTTATATGACAATTTTTTTATCAGTTAAAAAAGAATGATACTTATTGAGATATGATTTATAACCATCTAAATATCTAAAACTTATTTAGGATCATAAATTTTTAAATTTTACATTTAATCAAACACTTTCACATAAATTGAAATAGAATGAGTAATTTTATAGGTTTTGATCCACCAAGCAAACGTACTTAACTACTTCATCGTAACATAATATAATTCGTGAGTTGATTTTTCGGATATTCGCTCAACTAATAATTATTAACTCAAAAAGTTCATTTATTGAAGAAAAGCGATTTTGTGAGATAATAACTCAGAAATCAACCCTACAATTTGTGTTACTCGCGAGCAGAATAATTGAGAATAAATAAATTAATAGTAATGATATGACATGAACTACAACATAAATGGATTAATAGGGAAATCTTAATGTTACTTGCCTGGTTGGTGATTGCTGATTGGTGAAGGTTCGATTTTCCTATCTTGATTCCTTCTTCATTTCCTTTTAAAACAAATTGAGGAACGAAAGGAATCTCAACTTCTAAATAGATTGTTTAATATATTAAATCAATAATTTCCCAAGAAAAAAAAAACTTTGAATCAAAGGTGAGGAATTGTTACCTTGTATATAGTGGGGTGTATTTACACAAAGTGACTCTCTCCTTGTAATGTAAAGTTAGGGGTGGTTTGATCGGTGGGATAAGACGATAAAAAAAATATAAAAATATTCTATAGGATTATTTTACCCCACGTTTGATTATGAGTATTAATTAATTCGGGAAATCATTTTGTATCACAATGATGAGACTTAAGACGGTAGGCCGTAGGATAGCTAATTCCATGAGATATCCTTATCTATTCCATACGATCCACGCAATGAGCTAGCGAAGCGTGGCCGCGGGCCCTTTAAGGTACTATATACACTCAACCAACTTGATCCCAATTTATCCATCAAAGCTATCCTTGGACATAAATTTCGTTTGTATGAATATACAATCTGCTAGTTAAAAGGAATGAATTGGTTCAAAGCGTAGTACACCATGCAACAAAATTTCATTAGATAATGGTTCAATTGTTGGGGATTTCAAATATATGTCTGCGCGATGAGAATTTCTAAGAGGAAGAATAGTAGCGGAATCAGAATTTTCACTAGGAGGTTCAAAATATAGAAAAAGTAAATATATGAAAAAGCAAAGAGGATAATCAAGATCTATTATATATACGTGTGCAATACATTATATGAAAAGTTGAAAACAATAACTATATCTCAGTCCTAACTCCTAAGTCATCATAACTCACTATTCTGTCCAAAATTTATCTTTCCTTTTTGAATTATGTCTAAAAATGTTTTTAATAGTCATGAATCTGAATTTAAAGATTTTTGTCTTAACACAAATTGAACTGACCTATTTCGTCTTATAAAAGTTTAGTTACAAAAAAGACACAAAAATATAAAAACGACACATCTCTTTAGTCTAACATGAAACTTCAAATTTTCCAAAAAAAGGGTTTAAAAGATAAAGAGAATGATTCACGGATTCAAATCAAATTACAAGAAAATAAGAATTATAATACTACACATTTAAATAAAAGCAAATAAAAATTAAAACCTCTATAAAATAGCAAAACAAATTAAATTAAAGCCTAAGATTCAAATCAAGCTTTGATTCTTCTTCTTCTTCATTATTCCTTTTTGCTTCCTCCTTTCCCAATCCAATCTTTGTATGATTATTTCCATCAAGACTATCGTCAAGATTGATTGGTGAATTCATTAAATTGAAACCCTTGGCATTATTATTGTTCTCAAATTGAGAATTCTCCAAAGAAGCACCAAGAATATTATTTCCTAGGACATTTTCTGTCCTAAAAAATGATGAGCTTGATGATGATGACGACCATTTCTTAGGGTTCAATCGAAAATTGTAGCCCGAAAAGAATGGCCATGTTGGATAGGAAGTAGGCTTATGAATCATGGAAGAATCTCCTTGAACACCAAGAGATGATCGGGTTGGAAAAGAAGTATGAAATGGTATGTGTGAGTTGAAACTCGAGTAGGGATTATAGTAGGGGTGATAATTAGGAGGGCCAAAAGACGAAACAACATCAACAAGTCCATTTCGTCTTTTAGCCAAAGCTCGCTCTTGTTTGTGAGCGTTCTGGTGTCCCCCTAGAGCTTGGGAGGTGGAGAATTCTCTCTTGCAAAAGCTACAAGAGAAAGTCCTAGCATCCGAAGAACACCTCTGTTTGGGTGTTGCTTCGTTGGAAGACTCACTAGCGCGAGCTGGAGTTGAATTGAAAAGTTTGAGTTCAAGATTCGAACAATTAGTATTAATGTTGTTGTTGTTGTTGTGGACTTTAAGATCAAGAAGTACACCAGCAGATGATGATTCATGTTGCTTCAACTGTGAGCCTTCCACAGCTTTTTCTTTCATCTTTTTCGTTTTTGTGACGATTTCATGAGATTCTTCTGAGGTTGCTGATATGCTAGAAGCCTCAGAAGAACATGATTTTTTCATCGCAAAAACATTCATTTTCCTCTCTATACTAATGTTTATTATGTTCTTGAAAATTAATTTGATGAAAGATTAATGAAGAGGATAGATCTTTTAAATAGACAATGTTATAAATACAAAATCATCCAAATATGGGAAATTAATGATTGCATGGCGTTACAAATTTACAAATTCAAACAACCAACTCATAGTTAATGGGGTGTTCTACTAGAGGTAGAGGATCAAATCAACTTGCTAGAAATACTAATTACATTAATGTATATCAAACTATCATATCTTGCTTTAATTAAATGTCACTATTATTATACAAATGGTAATATGGAGATTAAGTGTCTTATTCTCACACATTTATTCAGTTCTGTTTTGAGTTTAAAATGATTCATTTTATATGGATATAAATAAATTTATGAACTAAATAAGTTTAGTGCATAATCTCTAGATGAATGTAGTGATGTGTTACTGTTTTTCTATTAAGATTTGATACTCTATATCTTGCATTTTAATTAATTCTAGCTGTGTATATATACCTATTAATTTTTTTACAAGTTTAAACTATTGAAATTGATTAATGACATTTCCTTTTTATGGTAATCATTATGATTTTGAAATCTGATTTTAAAAATTTTGAATCAAACTTTTAACTATACGCTATCTCACAGCATTAAATCAATATCTTTTTCTCATACCATAAACATTACTTACATATTTAAGCACATTATAATAGACAAATTCTTTCTACAAAGATATTTCCACAATTGGATGCATTATTTTACTAATACAATATCTTGATAATTTAACAACGATTCAAAAATAAACTTTATAAGAAGTTGAATAAAATTTGGACTAAAATATCCTTAAATTTAGCGATAGAGATGCTAAAGCAACAAGGCAACTATGATATGTAAGTCTTGACAAATCGATAGATATTCAGCCTTATTGGGCAAACTTGTTGGATAACTTGACATGGAACTTTTTGAGTTCTCAATGAACGATACACACAAAGTAGATTTTCAAATACGATCTACACTTGCACTTAGTCATAGTACGATGCAACTTAACTTCTTTGGCATCTATAGATATCTAAAATTCATTTCTCTTAGTTGAAGGATGAAATTGTTTTTGTTTGATATGTTATATATAATCATAATACATAAATAAAAGTTATGTATAACAACAATAATTACGTCTCAATTCAGATCATCATCACTCACTTATGCGGTTTGAAATCTTGGTTTTCCTTTTGAAATATACTATATATGTTTTTAACACTAAACAATCATGGGTCTTAATTTAAAGATTTAACATATCTCTTTGTTCCAACAAATACGAAGCCACTTCAACTATCCAAAAAGAAAAAAAGAAGTAAATAGAGTGATTCAAATCAAACTACAAGAAAATGGGAATTAACATATATATATCACATGTTTTTTAATAAAAACAATGCACAAATAAAATTAAACCTTCATGAAATAACAAAATAAGTTAAAGCAATAAGTAAATTAAAGCTTTAGATTCAAATCAAGCTCTTCTTCTTCATTATTCTTTTCTTCTTCCTCCTCTCCTAATTTCAATTTCGTATAATTTTTTCCATCAAGATTATCAACATCGATAGGTGAATTCACTAAATTGAAACCCTTTCCACTTTTTTTGTTCTCAAAATAAGGGGAATTCTCCAAAGAAGCACTTCCTGTTCCAATCTTACCCATGTTATAATTTTCTTGGAGATTTTCTGTCCTAAAAAATGATGAGCTTGATGTTGACGATGACCACTTCTCAGGGTTAAATGGAAAATTGTAGCTGGAAAAAAATGGCCATTTCTTATAGGAAGTAGGCTTAAGAATAGCAGGAGAATCTCCTTGAACACCAAGCGATGATCGAGAAGCAAAAGAACTGTGAAATGGTATGCGTGAGTGTAAATTTGAATAGGGATTGTAGTAAGGATGATAATTGTGAGGGACAAAAGGTGAAACAACATCAACAAGACCGTTTCTCCTTTTAGCCAATGCCCTCTCTTGTTTATGAGCATTTTGGTGTCCCCCTAAGGCTTGGGAAGTGGAGAATTCTCTCTTACAAAAGTTACAAGAGAAAGTCCTAGCATCCGAGGAACGCCTCTGCTTGGGCTTTGCCTCGTTGGAAGACTCACTAGCATGAGCCGGAGTAGAACTAAAAAGATTGAGTTCATGATTTGAACAATTAGTATTTATGTTGTTGTTGTAACTATCATGATCTTTGAGATCAAGACGTACACCAACAGATGATACATCATATGGCTTCAATTGCGAGCCTTCCACAACTTCTTCTTTTGTTTTCTTAGCGTTTGTGACAACTTCATGAGATTCTTCTGAAGTTGCCGATATGCTAGAAGCCTCAAAAGAAAATGGCTTTTTCATCGCAAAGTCTCTCTATACTAATGTTTATGTTCTTGAAATGAAATTAACTTGATGAAAGAATGAAGAGAATATTATCTTTTAAATAGACAATGTTATAAATACAAAATCCTCCAAATATGGAAAATTAATGATTCCATGGCATTAAAATTTACAAATTCAAACAACCAACTCATAGTTCTACTAGAAGATCATATCAACTTGCTAGAAATAGTAATTACATCAATATATTTCAAGCTTATCATATCTTTGCTTTAACTAAATGCCTCTATTAATAATTATTATGCAAAATGGTAAGATGTAGATTAACTGTCTTATTATCACACGTTTATTGAGTTCTATTTCGAGTTTAAAATGAGCCATCTTATATGGATATAAATAAATTTATTAACAAAATTAAGTTTAGTGATAATGTAGTGATCCGTTACTGTTTTTCTCTAAAAGGTATCTCTATCCAGATTTGATACTCTATATCTTGCATTTTAATTAATTCTAGCTGTATATAATTACATATTGAATTTATTACAAGTTTAACTTTTAATTGGTTAAACATTGACTAATTACATTTCCGTTTTAAGGTGATCATTATGGCTTGAAATATTAGTACAACTAATTTTTTAAAAATTGAACCAAACTTGGCTGTATGCCACCTGACATAATGAGTTCATGGTAGTTTGGGGGTGAGGAAAGGGGGAGTTTCTATGAACATCCAATAGTTTAAGGGCCCGTTTGGTAGGTGGTATTAAATAGAATAGATCATGCATGGATTGAAATTTAGTCCATATGTGGAGTGTAATGTTCACATATCATGTTATATTCTTCTCTTGAGTATTTTTTTAATATGAGTTCATGATAGTTCAGGGTGATTCTATGAGCACTCGATATTTTGAATTAGTTAACAACTTTAGTGATGAGTTCCATTAGAAAGAAAATCTCTTCTAGCCATAGATGAAACTCCTATGACTATCTAAGGGCCTTTGTTTCCTTTGAATTCCGTTCTCTATAATGAGTAAAACAACAATAGAAAGGAAATCTCTTCTAGCCATAGATGAAGTCCTATCTAAGGACCTTTGTTTCCCTCGGATTTTGTTCTCAATAACGAGTAAAACAATGATAGAAAGAAAATCACTTCCCATAGATAAAGTCCTATCTAAGGGCCTTTGTTTCTCTTGAATTCCGCTCTCTATAACGAGTAAAACAACAATAGAAAGAAAATCTCTTCTAGCCATAGATGAAGTCCTATCTAAGGGCCTTTGTTTCCCTTGAATTCCGCTCTCAATAATGAGTAAAACAATGATAGAAAGAAAATCACTTCTAGCCATAGATGAAGTCCTATCAAAGGGACTTTGTTTCCCTTGAATTCCGCTCTCTATAACGAGTAAAACAATAATAGAAAGAAAATCTCTTCAAGCCATAGATGATGTCCTATCTAAGGGCCTTTGTTTCCCTTGAATTCCGCTCTCTATAACGAGTAAAACAATAATAGAAAGAAAATATCTTCTAACCATAGATGAAGTCCTATCTAATGGCCTTTGTTTCCCTTGAACTCCTCTCTCTATAATGAGTAAAACAACAATAGAAAAAAAATCTCTTCTAGCCATAGATGAAGTCCTATCTAAGGGCCTTTGTTTCCCTTGAATTCCGCTCTCAATAACGAGTAAAACAATGATAGAAAGAAAATCACTTCTAGCCATAGATGGAGTCCTATCCAAGGGCCTTTGTTTCCCTTGAATTCCGCTCTCTATAACGAGTAAAACAATAATAGAAAGAAAATCTCTTCTAGCCATAGATGAAGTCCTATCTAATGGCCTTTGTTTCCCTTGAATTTTGCTCTCTATAATGAGTAAAACAATAATAGAAAGAAAATCTCTTCTAGCCATAGATAAAGTCCTATCTAAGGGCCTTTGTTGCCCTTGAAATCCGTTCCCTATAACGAGTAAAACAACAATAACAACCGACAACAACTTATATGAGTCGAAACATAATTAGCAATATAAATTATAATGATGAAATTCCCTTTTATAATGTGAATATTTACACATATTTTCTCGACTTCTCCACTTTTATATTTGTACTGTACTGAAGGAGCCAATTGTCACCAGTAATGAAAACTTCCCTTAACGAGAGGTTTCGAGTTCGGACCCTAGGAATGAAGAACTTCTTAACAGAGAGCATTTTACCTCCCTTAATTAGCTTACCCAACACGTATACAAAATAAATCAGACCAACAAATTTCAAATACCATATGATTAAACCAAAGAAAAATTTGAAAGTCTAGACATTTCTGTTATCACAATGAGATAAATCTAAAGGGCAGCCCCGTACACTAAAGCCCCCGCTATGCGCGGGGTACGGGAAAAGGTTGAACCACAAGGGTTTATTGTACGCAACCTTACCCCACATTTCTGCAAGAGGTTGTTTCCACGGCTTGAACCCGTGACCAGAGGTCACAATGAGATAAAATTCACAAAACATTAGGTTCCAACATTGTTTTTCAAATATTCTCCAAATTAAAAACAAAGAAAGTAATACATAATGAATTCAAGTAACTCTCCAAAACAAAAATAATACTTGAATCCATACTTACTAACTACTCAAGATTTTCTTTCAATTTCTTTAATTTTTATTCACTTTCAATAGAGTTTACCATACACCATATATGTTAACCACTTCATTATTTTCTCTAATAGGTGTAATGAATTAATCAGTTATGTTCCAAAAAAGGAGGGATTCTCTTGTATTGTAATTGCCAAAAACAACACAGCCTAGCCAGATTAACAGTAACAAAATTCTACTCCTTGTAATTATTGTGATCTACTCATGGCTTAGGCAAATCAGCTTTAAAAAGTATGAGTTGATTCTGTTAAATTCACTGAATGCTTATTATTTTGCTACTTACATTCAGGTTCCTCTCATGAATATCAAAATCTCACAATTCACCCCAACCCCCCCTAGTTCTCGCTGTCTCCCATGCTATTTCTCCCTTTGCTCAAGCATTTGCTTCTTCAGGAATATCATCCTTTATACTGCTTTATAACTAATTTTACATAACTAAACAAGCAAAATCCACATGCAAAAACCACTTTGAGCAACAATTTTCTTTCCTTCTAACAGAATCATCGATGAAGCGTCTTCTTGACTAAAAATGTGACGTGTTTTTTATGTGAGAATAAAGGAGGAATAAAGGGGGCTTTGCGAATTGGTTTCGGGAGCCTTTCTTGAACTACAAGTGCCTTTCTCGTGTGCTGCTTCTAGTATTTCTTTGTCCATCCGTAAAAGTAATAAAATAGTAGTATAAATAAGCACGAATATCAAAGAGACTCCAACCAAAACCAGTTGCCCTCTAATAGCTTCAGAATCTTAAGGTTCGGAGCCTGTTCTCTATTCGTAAGTAAGTGTCCTTACACAAAGAACTTTCAAGTGTTGTTGCAAAACTAGTTTTCCTTCTTTCCATTGGTCTCAAAATTGCTTCCCCTCTTTGAAGCTAGTTACTTACTAAGTGTACCGAGAGTACCCTCTAAAATATCTGCTGACTCTTGCCTTCTATGACTCAAATTTCATGAGACAAAGCAGGGCTAGATTCAAATCCAATTTCTCATTGTTTTACATTTACTATTCCATCTTATTTTTCCCATAGAAATAAATCACTATGGAACTTTTTATCATTTTTCTGCAATATTTTGGTCAATATACTGTGTATAAACGTATGTCATGCATATGTAGATAAGAAAAATTTACTATGACATCATCTTCTCTTTTTGCATAATCTGTTAGGCTATGTTTTCAAAATATATCTTGCAGAACTGTTCATAATTTTTAATGGTTTCTCCAGTTTCAGGCCAACTCAAGCAAGTTATGGAGAAACAGAATTTAGACTTGTACTGGCGGAATATTCAGATTATGCAGGAGAATGACAGGCTAAGGAAGACTGCTCAACGGCTCAGACAGGAGAATGAAGCTTTATATTCTGAACTTAAACAGAGACTAGCAGCAGCAAGAATTAATCAAATACCTGAACTTGAACTCACGCTTGGCCCTAGTCCTGCTGCAGATCAAATGAAACCCAAGAATCCTCAGCCACCTCCATGCAGCTAAAGCGATTCCAAGTGCTTCTTCTTGCTATGGATGATCCAAGCTCAAGGTTACGGGAAATTTTAAGTATGAATGTTGATTGTATTGCCGCAATTACAGACTATCCGTTGTTTGAAACAATATGGTTTATAGGAATAAGCAGTTGATAAATAAAGTATAAGCTATCTATATTACTTAAAGATGTATCAATGTGCAGTTCTGTTTGTGATATTCAATGGCCAGTTTCTTTATCCAATTCCAACTGTACTAAGTTCTTCTATAAGCATTTACCAGAAAGGCATAGTTTATAGCTGTTTGTAATCTAAAATGATCTTTTCATCCTCTAATATGCACTTTTTTCATGGTTTGAAAATAATAATAATAGGAAGTAATTATCAACAGAAGCTGTCATGAAGAAGTAATTCTTAGAGTTTTCTGACCCCTTAACATTTCTAAGTTTTTTAAATGATCGGATTCCTCCTCCCTATTAAGATTTCTCTGGAGAAAAAGAAGAAATTAAGTACTTCAGCATAAGAACAGAGATGCAGGCATACATGTTCTTTCAAAAGCCACTTGGCAACACCATTTAAAATCAACAGCGAACAAACCAACATAAGGTTCGTCCTTTTTAACAACACATGAAACTATATTATAGGCCAGATTAGTTTTAAAATTAGAGTATGTCCCTCTAACTAATACAGTCTAGTGAGGGGACATTCTTTAGCATGTTTCAATACTAGTCATCGAAATTGACATATTCAACAGGAAGTTTTCTGGATAAATGCATAGCTTATCTATCAAAATTTGTTAAAGAGCAGACATACTTTCGAACATAACAGAGAGAGATGTTTATACAACAGGAAAAGAAAACTTTCTTTACGTTTCTAAGACAAGAAATGAAGAACACCTTATCCACACACAAGCTAATATATTCAGAAAAAAAAAGAAGATGCCACTAAGAAAAAGAGCAACAGTGCAAATTGAATGCTGACTTAGCAGTGTTGAGTGTTTTATGAGCATCCCCAAGGCAGCCAGGTGAGATTTCAGAAACTTTTAAGTGAGTACTATCTATTTCGTTGATTAGAAGAAGCCCAGCATATCAGAGAAGATGTGAAGATGAAGTTTTACCTAATCAGGAACATTAATAAGATCCAATGCATACACTAGATTACAGACACTCCAAAATCTTGAAAAGAATTATACTGGACAAATGACATTTCCCCTCTTTGTAGTTGTCTTATGTTCAATGAAGTATTAGTGACATTTTTTCAATTAGCAGAATTATAGTTAAGAAGATTTTCTTCCAGGAGTTAAATATCAGTAACAAGAATGTGTCTAAACTCTAAAGATCTTTCTTTTTTGATAAGTGATGTGTCTAAAGTTGAATTTGCCAACATCTTATTCTGAGCAATTTTAGATGTTCTTGGGGTTAACTCAGATTCAAAAGGATAAAAACGAGATACCTATTATACTCTAGAATTCAGTTCTATTGACATAGAGAATCTGCAGAATTAACCAGAACATAAGGAATAAGATAGTAGAAAGGATTCAGAAAATTCGAGAGATGAGAAAAATAGTGCAGTAGAAAGACTTTTGAGATGACATCTACCACAAAGCAATGGGGAAAAAAATGCTATTTTGTCACTTTGCACGCAATTAATGCAGAGAGATAAAATACAGGATAATTTTCTCATCAATTAGCACGATTAGAAAATCTCATGGAGGAGGTATTCTGCCAGCGAGGTCTGAGTATTGGCAGCCCCTGAGAGCAGTTGAAGGAAATATCCATCGAAAAGACTTTTATGCTGCTAAGGAACACTTCCAAAAACTAATATTAAGCAGGACTAAGAGTTAATTTAAATTACTCTTTTTGCACCAGGTAGCAGTTGAAGTACTTAACTCTTACTATTACTGCCATTTATAGCTTATGACGTCTCTTATGAGGATCTTTTGTTGTTAAACAGCTCATAAAGGGTAAAGTACATAAGGATCCAAGAGAGTGTTCCTTGTCTATATTCTCGTGCACGTGAAAGACGGAACAGAAAGTGATTCCAATGGGCCATTCCCTCCCCATCAAAAGCAAAATGCTCAGTTCAGCTATTGATTGTTTTGCTAAGATAGGTGATATAATATTATCTATTGCAGAAGACGATATAAGAGGGCCCTCTTTCAAGCAACATGCATCTCTTAGTACAAAATTGCATGATGATGATACAAGATAGCTAACTTACACCTACATATGCAGACTCATACGACCTTTTTTAAGAGAAGGCTTACATTAAAGCACATAAATAGACCAAATACATTAGAACCATATATAAAGGAGGTCCAACTATGTTTCTCGGATTCTCCAAAATTATTGTCGCACCCGTGTCAGATTCTTCAAAAATGCACTATTTTTGGAGAATCCGACACGCAACCTTCGATATTTTTTAAGAGTCCGGGCAACATAGAGCCAGAATCCAAAAAATTAAAATCCTAAAGAAACATCTAAGCCTGAAGGAATGCACTTTGTTTAAAGAAGCTTTTTGATGTCCAAGTGTAATCGTATAAATCTCATGAATCTTCCCAAAAAAGCATGTGATATATTTATTTATTTTTAATATTTACAAACGCATTTGAATGTAATGCACTAGATATTGCAAGAAAATGGCACGATAGATGAAGATTTAGCATATAAAATTAAATTAGGATGGCCGAAATGGAGGAGTACTTGTAATAGTGCTGCACAATAGGAAGACACCTATTAAAGTGAAAGACAAGTTCCATAAGATGGTTGAGAAACCACAATATTATTCAGAAGTAAACTATAGGCCTTTAACCACTGATACCTTCAAAATATAAGTTTCACATAAACGTTGATACTTAAATAGACGTGTGACATACAAGATTAGTCAATAATAGAAAAGATGACATCAGAGAGAGGGTGCAAATAGCACAAGATGGATAGAATGAGAGAAAGCAACTCGAGATGGTTTGTTGATGCTCTATGTCAAAACTTCAAATGCACCAGCTAATAGGTGTAGCACCATGATGATTGAAGGCCTACAATTTGTTTCAGAAGATCTACGATTTCTCGGTATCAAAATAGTCTTTAGCTAAGAACAAAAGACAATGGCAGCAAATGTAGTACCAAACATTAAGGCTTATTCATTATGCTACATTTAAAATGTAACTGATTTTTTACATCTAACCATCATGGTTTGATAAATTGCTGAAACCACATGAATATTAAAATATATATTCATATATATACATATGATGGTCGATGACGATGACTTTTAAAACTTTCAAGTATGTTCTCCTTTTCTATATTCAAACTATTTTTTCAACCATTACTTCAACATTTGTTTCTCATCCTCACTTATATAATATATAAGTCAAACTAATTTCATAAACTCTGTACCTTCTAAAATAGCACACTTCTTTTTAATGAGGGTGATCTTCTGGACTAACTCATGCACCTAGACTATATTGGGTACCTGCTACCTTCATTCTTCTCAGCAAGGTTAACTCCTACCAGCACAAGTATCGAATAATGATAAGAAATCATCCGCAGTTTTGTAAGCTCTAGTGAGATTTGAACCTAAGACCTCATAGAACCTCCTCCCACTTTATTGAACACTACAACAACAACAAACAACAACATACCCAATGTAGTCCCACGAATGGGTCTGAGGAGGAGGATAGAATGTACGCAGACCAAACCATACTTTGGGAGGTATAGGTTGTTTTCAATTCAAAGCCATTCGAAAAAAGAAATAAGTAAAGTGCATAATCGAAATACAAAAAACAACAAATAGTAGCAGAAATCAAAGGACTAGAAACTATAATAGTAATACTACTAGTATGTAAATAAATACGAAACAATGCTCAACTAACTGCTAATCCTCTATCCTAATCCATATCCTCCGTAACCTCCAATATAAGGTCATGAAAACTGAAATTGCACCATGCCGTGTCTAATCACCTCTCTCCCATACTTCTTCCGCATAAATTGGGAATAATTTCACGTTCACAGAGGAAATTAACAACTATACATACCTCAATTACATGTATATATTCATCATAAATAAAAAAAAACTGAATACCAATTCAAATCAAACTAGAGATATTACCGGAGAAAGAAGAAATCCGGTGGAGTAACGGAGAGACTTAACGGCGGTAGGTACAATTGAGCAGTTAATCAATAACGGCACGGCGGCGCTCTTCGCCGTCGATAGTTTCTCCGTTGAGCTGAAGGTCTATAGTGAAGCAACGGTTAATCACTGTGAGATCCAAATTAGCTTTGCTTTTATAGAGAATGAGTTTTGTAATTTGTAAAAGGGGAATATAAACTTTGATAAAGTAGAAGATGGGATATGAATTAAGTTTTTTCAATTATTTTTGTAAGTTTGGGATTACATTTATTCGTTGACACATAAGTTAAAGCTTTTTCTTGACACAAAATTTACGAAAGTAAAGAAGATTTTTGAATCCCGTAGTCTTCGGCTAAAGATACATATAATCTACCAAAATGATCTTTAATTTCATGATCTTAAACATGCCGTGTGGAAAGTTAGTGCATTCTTTATGAAACAGACTAAAAAGTAAAATAAGATAAACAAATTGAAACACGGGGAGTATTAATTGAGCGATCATATGAGAAATCAACTTCAGTGATAGATGGAGTTGGTTGGATATATTCCACTATTTGGCTTATACACTTGTTTTTCCCATCCATTGTTTTGTAGGTAAAAATTATTTCTTGAAGCTATGCTTTGAAATGAAACAGAAGCATCCAAAAGAGTCTCCCAATCTTGATTGTCATCTTCAAGTTGTATCAAAGGTTGCATTTCACTATCAAATCTTGATTGCCTCTTCTGTTTCCTATGTTGCTCGGACTCTTCAGTATCATCAATGTTGCGATGCATTTTTGGAGTATCTGACACGGATGCAACAACATTT